ATCTGAAGATAAAAGAAAAAAATATCCTCGGGTGAGGATTTAAAAATAAAATAAAAATAAAAAATAAAGCAGATAGGAAGTATATGTTTATATACATAGGAAATTTCCCCCTATTTCTAGAGAATGAAGCTGGGCATTGAAGTGAATAGAGAGGGAGAATTTTAATTTTACTCTGTATACTTCTATAGAGTTTCAACTTACTTTTTTATATACTAGTTTTATACATTTTAAACTAGTTAATAAAAAGAGTAATTTCACTCCTTGAATCCCCAAATAACTTGGGGAGAAATTATTTCCCATCCCGTATCTATTGGGTGTGTCCACATTTGGAGCCTTTTCCAATCCTTTTCTTCTAACTTGGTCATTCATCTTTTCTCTGACTCAGTATTCAACAGTTAGACACTGAGAACCTTCCATGTACTAAGCACTCGGCTAAATGCTGGGATATGTATGATGAACGTGATTTAATCCATAATTTTAGAAACTTAAAAAGTTTCAATAACACTCATGGCCTTCACTAAATACAATTATTTTCTCACCTTTTCTTCCTCAGAGTTAAAATAAGAGATTCATTAACAGAAACAAGCTTTTTAAACCTCTCTCCTAAAATTTTGTCTGGTATATCCAACTGCCTACTCAATACCACGGAGACCTAGTCAGTGTCAAACCCACACGTCCAAAACTCAACCCGGGACTGCTCCCCTACATCTCCCTCTCCCATAGCTTCCCCATCTCAGCAGATGGAAACTCCATTCTTCCTCTTCTTCGAGCCAAAACCTCGGCGTCATGCCAGGCAGGATCATGTCAGCTCTGTGTTCAAAATACATTCAGAATCTAATAACCATTTCTCCCACCTCCCCCACTAATGCTTTGTCCAAGCCCCCGTCGTTTTCACCTGGATTGCTGCAACAACTTCCAAACGGGTCTGCTTTCCCCTTCCAGAGTGCTCCCTATCTTCCCACTCCTCTGCTCGGTGTGCCCCAATGACTATCTAGCTATTCCGAATAGCAATCAAGTTCTTAACGTGGCCTGCAAGCCCACACGGGACCTGCCCACCTGCCTCCCCACCTCTCTAGGCTCACTTCCTGCCACTCTCCCCGTTCTGCTCCAGCCACCTGACCTCGCTGCCCCCTGACCTCGCTGCCCCCTGCGCTCCGAGGACACCCTTGCCTCCAAGCCTAAGTACTGTTCTCACCGGGGTTTGTTCCTTCACGGATCCACACTGCTCCCTCTCTCACTTCCTTCAGTTACTGGCCAAATGCCCCTTCCTAATAAGGTGACCTCTATAAAATAGCAACTCCTACCTCACCCTTCTCTCTTCCTTTATTTGTCTCCATCTGACATATATTTACTCATGTATGTGCATACTGTCTGTCCTGCCTCCATAATATAAGCACCATGTGGTCAGTCTTCATCTATTTTAGAACTAAGCCTGTGTCCCGGTAAGCACGCAATACATTTCTGACTGGATGAATTAAAGAAAATGAGTCCAAGAGACTCATGTGAATCATGGACAGTTTTCTGTAAGCAGAAGGATGCTAAAGCCACAAATCATAAATATTCAAACATTCACATTATGGAAAATCAACTGCTCATTTACTTTTTCAGTAATAGTTTATCCCACATATGAAAGTGACATTTATATGATACATGCACAAGCTAATTCACACAGGTACCAGGGAAAGTATCACTAACATGTAAAAGATAGCACACTGTCCATCATCCAGTTCACTTGATTGCGTAAGCCAAATCCAAGAAATGACCCTAGATTCTTCTCTCCCAAAGCTTTATTCCATTACAGGTCCCATGAACTCTACTCTCCAAGTATCTGTTAGGACCCCAGAAGGCCACGTCATCATCACTTCCTGCCTGACTTCTTGATTAGCCTTCTCACTGCTTCTATTCTGATTGTTCTATAATCCATTCACCAAACAACAGCCAGAGTGATTGTGTGATTGTTTTTTAAATGTAAATCAGACTTGATCATTGATTATTATGCTAAGTGAGATAAGCCAGTCAGAGAAAGACAAATATCACATGATTTCACTTACTTGTAGAATCTAATGAACAAAATAAACTGACCATCTAAACAGGTACAGAGGCACGGAGGCATGGAACAGATTGACAAATCTCTCGGTCAGATGGGAGTGGGGGTGTGGGTGGGAACTGAGAGATTAACCAAAGAACTTGTATGCATAGCCCATGGACACAAACAGTGTGGTGCAGGTGTGGTGTGAAGGAATGGGTGAGGGGGACAAAGTGGGGGAGGAATGGCGGACATCTGTAATACTATCAACAATAAATATATATATATATTTTTTTGTTTGTTTGTTTTTTAAAGTAAACCAGACGCAGCCACTGCTTCAGATGTCCCATGTTTCCCAGTGCACTGGAATCAAAGCCCCAGTCCTCACTTACCCTGCCACAGAAGCCTCCCGCCTGCTTCTCCCACAGCCTCATATTCCACTAGGGCCCTCACCTACCACAGTCCAACCAAATGGCCTCCTTTCTCCTTCCTCAAACATACCAAGTTTGTTTTCGCCTTCCTCTTACATCCAAAGGGTTTTTGTTTTGTTTCATCACTCAGAACTCTTAAATGTCACCTTCTTATGACCTGGCCCCGAGGCTAAGGCGACTAAATGACTCCGTTTTTATCATCAATGGACCTTCCTCAGTATTTTTCCAATAATAGGTTAATTACCCCTAGAAGTAAAGGAATTTTGCCTAAGATTATAGTTGCCCCAGGCGTTGGGAGGCATCTGCAGTTTGCAGGTATTCCAGAGCCCAGTGAATAATGCTAATTTTGACTCTGTAATCGCTGTCACACCCACTATTGTACCGGTCCTCTGGGGGGTGGGGTGGGGGGCAAAAGGAGGATGGGGCTTCTGTCTTTAAAATCTGATGAGCAAAAAGAACTGTGGCTGCTGATCTGAGGGGAGGCTATGCCCTCGCAGCCCACCGCGAGAATAAAGTGCTCCTTTAGAATTTGGCTCTGCGTCTCTGGTTATCTCGCTGACACATTTTAACACTTAGAGGGGACTTCCTTGACTACCTAATCTACAATAGTCCCCCAGTCCTTATCTATTGGATCCCTCTCTGTTAAAGATTAGTATAGTCCCTATTATTATCTAATATTCTCTTGCTTCTGGTTTTTACTGTTTGACTCTCCACAGCAACAATGTAAGTTTCAAAGGGGCAGGCTCTTCTTTTCCTGTCTTGTTCACCTGAAGATAACATACTCAATAAATCTGTTGAATGTTAAATGAATCCAGAGTCCCCATTTACACTATAATTTAATATCTTTGTACTATAAAATATCCTTAAAATTAAACAACAGACGCCGAAAACACACATTAAAAAGAGATTCCCATCCCAAAGTTTAAATAATCCAAGACAAATTCTATGGTCAGGTAACCATTCAAAGTCAGGCATGGTTAACAAAAAGGAGAAAAGATGTGGTGAAGACCATCTAAAGTAGTGGGAAACTGGAAAATCACTGTCTATGTCCTTGAGACGGAGTATAAAGCTTTCCTAAAGTAAATTCAGTTGAAATATCAGCTTCAGAGAGTGTAGGGGAGGGGAGAAGAAGGCAGGAGAAAAACTGGACATGGCTTGAAGAAGGAAGAGAAGAGCAGGAAGAGGAGGCTGTAAATGGCAGGGTAAACCAGGACTGGAATTTGCCACAGGTAATCTCCAACATGAATAATCCACCCCGGGTAATAGACTATTGACTATAATTACATTCATCCTACTGACCTTGTTCTAAATTATTATGGATTATTACTGCACAAGTTATTTTTGTTCCACACCAGAGGTGGTTGTATTCTGCTATCAGATGACATGACCTCTAATTCAATAATGTCTGTAATGCACTGGTATCCTCAGATAAAAGCTGTCTATAATGTCTGAACAAAGGTGAATTAGTTATCCAATTCACACACGCAATTAACTCTCTTAATACCTGAGAGACCATGGAGCCCCTTCTGAATTTCCTATTAAGTACTACATATGGAGGTCTTCCCTCCATCTGCAGTTATCTTGTGCTGTACTTCATAATAAACAATATTAATAGTTTACTGCCATCAAGAATCTTGTAGTAGTTATCGTAAGAGACCTCACTCTGCAAAGTAATGACTCATTTTCCTGGGAAAATGCATTAAATTAAAATGTTATGCCTATTAGTAAAGCACAAAAGTTCTCTAGTCTCAGTAATGTAACAATAATAACACCTTCATGAAACACAGAAAATTTAATTTTTTCATCATCTTTAAGAATACTTTTTAAAAGCCAAAAGGCAATATTTATAATGTGGATTTATACACTGTATTCAGTCATTTGAAATAAAAAAATAAAAAAAACTATTTAAATTCAGGCACTGAAGGGCAAAAACAAATCAAAACATAGCATTTTTGCCACCTGTTCCCTCTACTCAGAGCTGAAATCTCATAAATAGTCTGAAGGCAGAGCAATGTGCCTCTCTCTGCTCTGTCCCCATATGTGATGCCAATGGCTGTATTCGTAAAACCCAGATTAGAATAACTAGGTCATGTCAAATGTCAAGCAAATACCCAGGCCTTCTAAAAAGGGAGGTAATTAATTATTTCTTCAGGGGATGCTTTTTATTTTAGTCATCGAACATTAATGTATCCTTTCAGCAGAGAACAAGAGAACAAAATAAAATCTGTAGACGAAAACCCGGCTTTCTCAGCACGCGTGCCCCTGAAAGCTGTCGTCCTGAAGAGCCACGCTAGGAGGACGCAGCAGTCCAGGGTATCAGAGGGAGGCTGCTGTGTTCCAGCGAAATCTGCTGCTCACCTGGCTTTGCATTTCCCCTCCCAACTCAAAGCAGGGAGGGAAGGCCGAGGAAGAAGGCAACGGTTTCTCACATGTTTCATAGGTTTTATCCGCCCGTGTAATGACAGAAGAAGGACATTCTAGAAACTAAAAAGCTAAGCAGGTGACATCTTTCGCTCCAAAAACAATTTAAAGTACAAACCAACCTTCTGCGTGCTGCAGCACGAGAAACACCGACTCCTCAGAGATGATGTACTTGTGCAGACACACCATGTTGGGCACACAGCGGGGGATGATGGTCTTTCTGTTCCTGCTGTATTCACTGCTTTTCCTTAGACCCTGACAGAGAACAAAAAGGTCAGTTGTACCCTCAGTTGCCTTTGGAGCCTGCTGTGCTCTGTGTTTATCAACCAAACTAATCTATCCGAGTTACTCCGGGCTTCAGAGAAACCACTCATCTGCTGCTCTATGCCCCTCGGTCCCTGGAGGCTCCGCTGATGGCATCTGGCGAGAATCCAGAGAACGGAAGATGCCACAAAGCTGCCATTAAAATCAATTACGTGGGTCAGTGTTTTTATTAGAGATGCTCTCAAACTAAGTCATCAGGATGACACACAGTTATTTCTCTATGACCTTTTCTTAAGTTTTATTTACTTGTATCTATCTTGAAAGCAGCAGACATTGTGAGATCAATTCAATTTCCTGAGACACAAAAGGTTTTCCTAAATTAAACAGGCAATTTTAAAATTCTATTCCAAAAAAGCACAAAGATTATTTTAGCTTTTTCCCAAAGGAACAGGTGTGTGTAGTTTCTGGTGTCGTACCTTAGTTTAAGAATCGGGGGGATGCCAGTGACAAAGTATACTCATAAAAAGAAATCTGTGTCGCCCTGGCCAGTTTGGCTCAGTGGTTAGAGCATTGGCCTGCGGTCCGGAGAGACCCGGGTTCGGTTCCCGCTAAGGGCATGTACCTCGGTTGCAGTTTGTCCCCAGCCCTGGTTGGTCGTGCGGGTGGCAGCCACTCGATGTGTCCCTTTCACGTCGATGTTTCTCTCTCTCTCTCTCTCTTCCTCTCTCTCCCTCCCACTCTATCTGTACAAAAAATGGAAAAATGTCCTCGGGTGAGGATAAAAAAAAAAAAAAAGAAATCTGTGTCAGTCTATGTCAATGTGACCTACTGCCGTGCTGATAAAATAAAACAAAGGCATTAGAAAAAATAAAATTCAATTAATCTGCAAAAATTGATGAATTCTGGATGCTGTGGAAATGCTTAAATTGTGATATTTTTAGACGATGTACTGTCACAATCCATTTCAAATACAACTTCGAAATTTAAAAATTGAGAGGATTTCCCTTCCTTATTCATTTAGTTACAAACTGAGTTATATAGAGAATCAAAATAGAGATTAAAAAAGGGAGGGGAGTCAAGGATGTAGATAACACTTTTTCTCAAATACTGTAACAAAGACTTTAAGGCAAAATGTCAGCACTTAGGAACTGTATAATCATAACCATAGGTGAGATGGTATGTGGTCTCCACAAATCACACAAAAAGCATTAGTGATTAATTCAAACGTACACTATACATTTAAACAACATGAAATGAGTCTTCAACTTATCCAAATTATTTCCTCCATACTCTGTTATCTAAGATGCTTTTTAAATGTATGCTGTAGAGCCCTGGCCAGTTTGGCTCAGTGGTTACAGCGTCGGCCCGCAGACTAGAGAGTCCCAGGTCCGGTTCCCACTAAGGGCAAGTAACTCGGTTACAGTTATCCCCGGCCCCTGCTGGGGTCATGTGGGTGGCAACCAGTCGATGTGTCTCTCTCACATCGATGTTTCTCTCTCTCTCTCTCTCTCTCTCTCTCCCTCCCTCCCTCCATCTCTCCTTCCCGCTCTACCTGAAGATAAATGCAAAAATGTCCTCAGGTGAGGATAATAAATAAATAAATGTATGCTATAGAGTATTTATCAACTGTGATGAATAAAATAAAATAAATACAGATCACCACAAACATAAATGAATGTCCAAACATCCAAGAAAAAATATTAACTATTTGTTTTTCTTTCAGGGCACAATTTAAAAATCAATTTCAAGATCATTGAATGTAGACATTCTACTTACTTTTAAAATGAATGTCTGTTCTGTCCTTGTGTCCATTACAAGTAAAACCTACATGGAAAAAAAAAAGAAAAACAAAATACATGAGTAATAACTTATCCACAATACAATGAAACATTAACTCCTAACTTTTTAAAACTACACTTTAAGGGTTTAAGGGAAAGTGCTGGAATTGACTCCATCAAAATTGTTCATTTCGGAATAGATTTTTTTAAGGTACCAAATCACAGGATTAAAGTACTCTTATCTAAAGTAGGTTTTATTATGGTTTCCTTTCTAAAAATGCCATATTTTAGAAACATTACTATGTTTCCTAGATTTATTTTTAAATACATTTCTTAAAAGTAAAGGAAAATTATTTTAGAGAAAGAATTGTTCCTCATGAAACATTTATGGTTAAGAAGTAAAAAATAAAATAAAAAATACAGGAATTGCCAAAATCTCAAATTCTCTCCCTACAGCCCCGTAAGCAGCCACTTGCTATAACATGATCTCAGTAACTCAGGCTCTAGTCTAAGGCATCCTTACGCCCTACTTCTCCTCCTGGCCTCGCCCTCATGCTTCTTCCATCAGCAAATCCTGGCAGCTCTGCCCTCCAAATGTAAGGAGACTGAACCCTCACCACCTCCCAGCATGTCCCCGACCCTAACGAAGACGCGCCCGGCAGAGCAACCGCCGCCCAGTGGACTCTCTGCTTCCATCTTTGCTGCCCTTGGTCTGCCCTCCAAACAGCAGCCAGGGTTTTCTTTCTAATACAGAAGTAGATCATGTCACTCCTCTCATCAGAGAAAAGGCCCTAATCCAAAAAATGATCTCAAGACCCTTCCTGATGTCACACATTGCCACTCAAACTACCCACCCTCTCGATGGATAGAGAAAGTGAAGCGAGACAGGGAATTATCCTACCATTTTCCTATTTTATTATTTTGGAGGAACTGTTACCAGAGGCTGGCACATCTCTGCTCTGAAGAGGCAGACAGTAAGGACTTTAGGCCCTGCGGGCCCAGCTGCACAACCCTCTCCGCCGGGGGCACAGGTGCAGCCACCACCGGAAATGGGCCGTGACAAGAGCATTCACACCACAGAAATCTGCAAACAGTATGGACAGGGATTTCTCCCTCAACTCCAGAGAACTGGGGCTCGAGGATGAAAACACTGTCAAGCTTGGGGAAATATAAAAATGGTGGTGAGAAGGAAACCTGGGGAGATAAGATGAGAAAGCAGTCTGAGAAGATGGTACATTCCATTTAGACATGGTGAACTTAAAGTAATAGTGACGTCATCTTTGACCTCTCTTCTGAGTGCCTGTGGGTCTCCATGTAATTTCAATTGAATATTCCCGCAGATAGCTCCTAAACTCGCCCTTTCCTCTTCCCAAAGCCCTGTCCCCACTAAAAACAAAACAAAACCCTGTTTCTCTTCCTATAGAACGGAATAATACCACCGTCCATGGGAACCCCCAAACCAAAAAGTTCCCTAAGTCACTATGAATTCCTTGCCTGCTACCTTCATAACCATTGACCAAGACAATCATTTCTACCTCCTAAGCATTTTTCCTATCCACCCCCTACCCTCCTTCACTGACCATGCTTTAAGTATTTACTATGTGCTATGCTTTGTTTTTTTATTGATTGATTTGAGAGAGAAAGGGAGAGAGAGAGACATAGAAACATTGATGAGAGAGAACATCAACTGGCCACCTCCTGCATGCCCCACACTGAGGATTTGGCCTACAACCTGGGAATGTGCCCTGACCAGGAATCGAACCGGTTACCTCTTGATGCACGGGTCGACGCTCAACCACTGAGCCACACCAGCCAGGCCTGTGTGCTATACTTTAACCAGGTGTGACCGATGATAATTCTTTCAACCACCCAATGAAATAATTTTACCATTTCTATTCTGACTTTGAAGATACTGTTTTTAAAATTATATTTGAAATGGATTGTAATAGTACATATTCTAAAAATATCCCAATTTAAGCATTTCCACAACATCCAGAATCTGTAAGAGCTATAATGGTAGATAACGATGGTATCTACCACACGTGAACATTTCGGTGACGGATAACCCCGTAAGTGCTTGTTTAGCCCATCGTTATTATTATTGCTATCACTATTATTGCTTCTTCTCCCTGAAATGCTCCCCAGCCACTTACCAAGCAAGTGCTCATCTTTCCATATTCAGCTCAAATGTCTATCTCTTAGTAACAGCCTTTTCTTCCTTTGTTCTCACACTGTATACAGTACCAACTTCCACGTAGCATTTGTAATCCTTCAGTTTGGTCTTACACTTACTTGTCTCTCTCCCAATCAGATTTCAAGCTTTTTATCAGCACGCTGTAGGCAGAACAATGGCTGCCAAAGATGTTCACACCTTAATCTCCAGAACTTGTGAATGTCGTATTACTGGCAAATAAAAGACTTTGCAGGTGTAATCAGGGCACAGACCATAGAACAGATTAGCCCGGATTATCTGAGTGGGCTCAATCAAATCACTTGAACCTTGAAAAGCCGGGAACTGTCTCTGGCCAGAGTGGAAAACAGAAATGACAAAGCAGAAGAGGAAATCCGAGAGGTCGGAAGTGGGAGGGACCGCGCGGTTGCTGGCTCCGATGCCGAGGCCCACACGTAAGCACAGGAGACGTCCTCTCGGAACTCAGAGCAAGCATGAGAAGGAACAGGCGGCTTCTAGGGACAAAGACCAGCCCTTGGCTGACAGCCAGCAAGGAAGAGAGTTCAGTCCTACATCCGTAAAAGAAAAAGAATTCAGCTAGTGACTTGAATGAGCATTAAAGTGGGTTTTTCGCCAAAGCCTCCAGTAAGGAACACAGCCCTGCCAGCACCTTGAGTTTAGCTCAACATGACCCATGTCAGACATCTATCCCATGTGACACAATAAAATGAGTTCTTTTTAAGCTGCTATGGTTGAGGTAATTCGTTATGGCAGCAACAGAAAACTGTACAGGGCAGAAATTATGTTTCCTCCGACCTATGTATCTCACACAGTAAACGTTCAAAGTGAATGGATTCAGGTATAAGGTCTGGAAGGTAGATGGCAATACAGGCACGGAGCATAGAAAATAAATTAAAACCAAAGGTTTATATTTGCATATTCTCCATCAAGATAACAGCTAAAGACATGAGAACATACCCCACTAAGATGCTTACTTTATACCAGGCACTGTGCTGGGTTTTAAAGAATTAAATCATGTAATGCACTCAACAACCCAATGAAGCAGGTATACTTGAACAAATTCTACAGATGAGAAATCAAACATAAAACTGATAACTTGCCCATGCTCTCGAATCTAAGAAGTGCTGGAGGTGAGATTTAAACCCTAGCAGTCTGGTTCCAGGGTTCTTCCTTTTTTACTGCTAAGCCACACTATTTATGTCTAAATTTTGAAAACTACACATAGTTGTTATATTGAGGGTACACAGACAAGAACCACCAAAAGCGCAGTGAGGAAAACACAAAGAAAATCAGAAAATGTCACGATTCAGAAAGAAGAAAACCATTCAGATGTCAGGGAAAGAAAATGCTTTAAAATGAGAGTGATCATCTAGAAGCCATGAGGAATGAGACAGGAGAAGGGATTAAGCAGTTAGGACGCCAGTGGTAACTTTTAATAATGCATTATGCATTATGAGTTAATAGTGGGTGATAAGAAAATGGAGGTGCCATATATAAATCTTTTAATAGAGAAATATGTCAAAAGAAGGAAAAACACTAAATAGTTGATCATCGGCTAGGACAGACCTATTCTCCCCATAATTTCCCCGTGAGCTGCCTTCACACCAATCTGGAACCTCCTGGGCATGGACACAGTCAGAGAACTTGAACTCTGCCAGCTGAATGAACCATCAGGAGGGCAAAGAGAGTGCAGGGGCCCTCTCTCAAGAGGACTCAATGAACTCAGTCTGTGAAGACCCGTAGGGCTCCTCAGACCTCATTTGTTTTTATATCAAGTTGTGGCTCTTTTAAGCACTCACCAGAATGCCAGTCCTATTTGAACAAGATACATGTCTGTGAAATAGAAACATTTCACTAGGTACAAGGTGTGGAAGCCGCACAAAGGAAAGAACGTCTCTCTCCTCCAGAAGCCTCTGAGTTGACAACAGACTCCATGGGCATAAATCAGAAGTGCTGTCTCCTTGTGGGTCGCACTTAGCCATGAAGCATGAAGTGGATCAGAGAAAAAGGCCAAATGAAGATCGATAAACATGGCTGGGAAGTGCTGCTTTGTTTACATTTACTTTCTTCTCCTACCAAGTTGGTTTGCAGTTAGACAACGTTCACATTGAGGCCATAAACACAAGAACATATGTGATTTTTTTAAAATGTGCCCTTTGACTGTCAATTTCTCCCAAACAGGTGTTGGCTAAATGATTATAAATTGGCCTCTGGATACACCTCTTCAACTGAGCCGTACAGGGCTGGTGATAATATAATTAGACCTAAAAACATCAGGCCAGTGAATGTTTTCCATCTGTTTGGCAATAATGTTTAGTTAACAATAGTCTTTAAAAGAAGCACCTTCAACTTCAGTTCTTAAAGTTATTTATAGAGCCATTCTTAACACACCAGCACTCTTGCTAACAAGAGCTTTAGCCACTTGGAAATTATTAGCCATACGGCTGTATACAAAGAGAAACGACTGCATTTAACATCTGCATCCTTCCAAATTTACACGCTTCAACCTCATTTAAAGTCATTTCTTAATGAACAGCACTGTGGTGCTGCATTAATATTATAGTTGCATGCACAAAGATCATAAGGAGCCAAACATTTTTTTAATACCAACAGTAGGCCAATCTGTAATGAAGCTGTCAGCATAAAGGACAAAATAATAGCTTCTTTAACCCTCAAACAGAATTTGTTCATTTGTAGACTGGAACACATCAATTTAAAAACTGCTCATGGGTTTGCTCACCTTTATAAAGACAAAAATCTAATTTGGTACTAATTTGATACAATTGTCTTGCCAATAAAAGGCTCCTAAACCCATCTCTTATTTCATAATAAAACAAGTACTATAACTAAAACTG